AAATAAACAACCCTCCCCCATTGTAATAGAATGTTATCAGGAAGTCTGTTCAAAGCCTTTATTTTGAAATAAGCCCCCCCATAGTAATAGAATGCTACCAGGAAAGCTGTACAGAGCCTGGTTTTTCAAAATAAAACCCCAAGATGGTTACAGGATGTTCCCAGTGAGACGGAAAAAGAGTGGATTTTCAAAATAAAACTCCCAAATAGTTACAGGATGTTCCTAGGAAGCGTAAAAAAAGCTAGAATTTCAAAATACAACCCCCAAATAGTTACAGAATATTCTGAGGAAGCCTAAAAAATGCTGGATTTTCAAAATAAAACCCCCAGATGGTTACAGGATGTTCCCAGGGAGCCGGAAAAAGAGTGGACTTTCAAAATAAAACTCCCAAATAGTTACAGAATGTTCCCGGAAAGCCTGAAAGATGCTGGATTTTCAAAATAAAACCCCCAAATAGTTACAGAATGTTCCCGGGAAGCCTGAAAGATGCTGGATTTTCAAAATAAAACTCCCAAATAGTTACAGAATGTATCCAGGAAGCCAGGAAGSTGCTGGTTTTTCAAAATAAAAGTCMTGGATGATGACAAGACCTTATCAGGAAGCCCAAAGGAGTCTGGATTTTCAAACCAAAAACCCCAGATAGTTACGGGATGGTCCCAGGAAGCCTGAAGGAGGCTAAATTTTTAAAACGACATCCCATGGATGGTGATTAGACCTTATAACATGGTTTCTCTCTGTCTCTGAAATTGGTCAAGTCTCTCTGTCATGGATCTGATCATGCATGATTGTAAAATCAAGCAGCTTTTGGAAATGTCTTTCGCTCTCACCGTCTCTCTCTCTCTCTCTTAAACGTAATGTCTCTCTGAAATTGGATTTCATGWAAACCTGGATAATATGTGTCTCTCTGTCCTTCCTCTTAAAGGAAATGTCTCTGTGTTCGAAGCAACGCCGGCATCGACGAGCACAAGGCACCCATTCAAAATGTCTCGGCAGGAGAGATTTTCTAGTTTAATTTATAACTTGTTAATAGATAACAAAATATTCTAATTACATGAGCTAACTAATAATAATAATCTCTGAGGGGCCCTGGAATCGTCCTAACCCACACATATACTGTATATGAATATGTATTTCCATCCATAGTATCTGGGATAAATATTAACTTCAGGTTTAAGTCAGGATTAGTTATTTAAGGTGGAATGTCCTCACTACTATAGAGAGTCGAACAAACCCGTGTGTGTGTGTGTGTGTGTGTGTGAGAGAGTATTCAAAACAAACTTTATCACTTCTGTCAAACTTCCTGCTTTGTTCAGTGAGTGTGTGTGTGTGTGTGTGTGTGTGTGTCCTCCTCCACCACCACCACCTCCTCCACCACCACCACCTCCTCCTCCTCCTCCTCACGGCTCCGTGTGGACACTTCGAGCCGAGCAGCAGCTTCGCCTCACGGATCAAAACCTCCAGAAGAACCCGGGACGAGTCTCAGACTCTATGAGTGAAAACAAACTCAAGAGTCAGGAACTCTCCAGCTGCGACCCAACTTCCGCTTCACTAACCAGCTAACCGGTTAGCATCCAGTCACGAGGGGACGAGAAAGTTGAGAAATGATCTGAACGTGTCTGAAAGTGTTTCGACTGCAGGTGTGTGTGTGTGTGTGGAGTTACTGACGTGTCCGTGTCCCTGCTTGAGGTCAGTGTTCCTGTTCGCCCTCAGTTCACCGTCACTGACTGTTTGTGGTTTTGTTGTCACAGCCACTAAACCGTGAAACATGGAGGATGCCGGTGGCCCGGCTCAGAGGAAGATGTCCACAGCTGGAGACAGTCTGTACAAAGTGCTGGGTCTGGAGAGAGGAGCCACTCAGGAGGAGATCAAGAAGGCTTACAGGTGAGTCCTCACACTGGGATTCTAAAGTCATACATCAGACACGTTTCTTTTGAAACACGTCTAGAAACACAAAGTGAAAGGAAACTGGGAGCAGTTTGTATTTACAGCTTTGAATAACTCACTCAAAACCATTAACAGAAAAGCATCTGTGAGCTTCTCTGTCACACATCACTCCCACGCTGCCAGCACAGAAGTCAGGGGTTCAGTATCTCGCCGCACGATCGAACCGGCAACCTTCTGGTTAGGGGACGGCCCGCTCTACCCCCCTGCTCTCCAAGCTCAGATAATCAGCCTATGTTATAATAATAGCTTTATTTGTATAGCACTAAACAAGGTTTACAAAGGGCTTCACAGAAACAACCCATGGCAAGAAGATTAACTAAAATAAAAAGGCATCATAGGGTCAAAGCCCAGCAGGTCACATATTATGGACATCATATCTCATGTACAGAATGCCCAAAGAAAATCAGATGAGTCAAATTTTATTTTTTTACAGCCCATATTCACAATTTGCCTCACAGGGCTTCACGAGGTGCAACCATCTTCTTTCTGGCCTTAACTCTCGACTGGTTAATGAGGAAGAACTACCAAAAAACATAGAGGGGGCAGCTGAGGCTGAGCGGGTAAAGGTCGCCCTCTAACCAGAAGGTCAGGAGTTCGATCCCAGTCCTCCCCATTGTCCTTGGGGCAAGATACTGAATTGCCCCTCACAGAAAAAAGTGCTGCCCATAGATGCACTGTATGAATGTGTGTGAAAAGTAATAATGATAAACTATATTTATACAGCGCAGCTACAAAGTGTGTTACATGGTTGAATTGGGATGAAAACATTAAAGATCAGGGAATTAAATAATATATTCAAGTGCAACATTAAAACAAGAACAATACGAGGATTAATCAAACTCATTTAAAATGATGCAGCCTCTGAATCCAGTCGAACACGTTTGAGATGTAAAGATGTGATCAAACGGCAGATTGGCAGAATGAATGAGCGGCTGATGAAGCTATGGAAATGATGCGCTGCACTCAGGTCAGCGTGGAGCCGCGTGTGCTCAGAACTGAGGCTGTTATGAAAGCAAAAGGAGGAACTACCCGGTCAATGAGTCATACTGATGCATCCAATGGATTTTGTATTAAACAGACAAACCAACCCACAGAATCTCCTTGGTGGAGATAATCAGCTACAGTTTAATAATTCAGTCAAAGATCTTTGGGTTTAATCTGAGTCTTTGTCCTGAAAAGTCCACGTTAGTTTCAGCAAAACAAAGTCTTTATGTTTTTTAGTCAGTTTTTAGTTATTTCAGTCAAAGAGAAACAATTTTAGTTCAGATCAAGAACGGACGTTTTAGTCAAACTACTTTGAAATAAGACGTAACATCCAACCGATTTCAATAATAGTAAAGTCTGTAAATATGACATGAGAGAATTCAGTCTTGTGACACGAGTCAATCAGAAAGCGAGCAGCAACAATAAAACCTCACAATCAAAAAGAACCTTGTCGATGGCCCTGCAATAACCCCCCCCCACTGATCATTCTTCTGTCCAGACTGTCTCTGAGGTGTTGGGTTATAGTCTGTTGTTTTACGTGTTATCTCTATTGTGTTCTCCAGTGTGTGGGTAGCTTTTAAACTACAGACACAAACTAAGAACTCAGTACCTTATGTGCTGTGTGTTGTAATAACCGGTAGATGTCGCTGTCGAGCTATATTTCGCCATCACAGACCCGTTCCTGAAAAGTGTCAAATCAACTTGTGTGTGATTGATTAATTATCTGTTAATCAACTAATCGATTCATCCACAGCAGCTGAACATAAAAAGTCCAGGTGGAAAAGCTTAGAGAGACGACAAAATGCTCCAAGTTATTCGGAAAGCGTCTTTATGGTTTATGTATTCATAAACTTATTGCTGACATGGTGCAGAAATCAAACACTGTCTTTTACAACGAGTTCTGTAATAAAACTAACTCAGGATCACAAATGTTCGTGTGATCAACTCCATAAAAAGATTCAGATAAGACAAGATCAAATGAAAACTCTTTATTGTCCCACAACAGGGTCATTTGTTGTGTTGAAGCAGTTAAAGGTGAAAACAAGTTAGAAGCATCAGTGAACAAAAGAAATAAGTGTAGTAGAAACATTTGATGACAAAAGTTGAAGAGTCCAAGCTGCATGTTTGGATTTAAGAGGTTCGGTCAGACACTGAAGTTCCATCTGTCTTCTGCTCTTTAGGATTAATGACATACTGGACATTTTCTTGGCAAAGATCTCATCTGTATAAAAGTTGTAGTAATAGTTCACACTGAGTTGTGTATCTGATTTTGTGCTGATTAATTTCTCTGTGGTAAAAGCCGGCGTCTCTCATCCATTTGTTTCCAGAAAACTGGCCCTAAGGCATCATCCTGATAAGAACCCAGACAACCCAGAAGCTGCAGAGAGATTCAAGGAGATCAACAACGCCAACTCAATCCTCAGTGACGAGAACAAACGGAAGATCTACGACAAGTACGGATCCATGGGCCTCTACGTGGCCGAGCAGTTTGGCGACGACAGCGTGAAACTGCACTTCCTCCTGAACAAGTGTTGGTTCAAGGTGAGAGACGTGGGGTTTGGTTTCAAAGTAGAAAAACGGAGATGATTTTTAAAATTGTACTTTTTATTTCTTATATCTTATTTTTGTGACGTGCACATGTGCAACCCTTGATTCTGACTTTTCTCCCAAGAGTGGCAGTAAAGCCGCCCATCTCCACAAGTAAATGTTCCTGAGCGTCGCTGTGCACATAAAGATCTTTGTGTTTTAAATTAATTACACTTTACAACCTCCAGGTCTTTATTCTTTAAGTCTTCATAGGGCTTCGAGGTGTGGTTGCCTCTTAACTACAGACAGGTGGGCTGTTTGGCTTCAGACTAGAGGAAAAGATAAGTGAGCTTACCAACGCCATCTTGGTTCCGGGGCTGACCCGGTCTCTGTTGAACGCCAACGACAGCTCATTTGTAAACATCAACACACAGACAAAACTCTGTGGTACCAGGGTCTCATCCAAACGTCACTTTCTCCGACCACGTTCGAAACCTTCTTCTTCACACACGTCCCCCAGCCGCTCTCAATCTCCCCTGATGAGGCTGACACACCCTCTTTTCAAAAAACCCTGTCGCAGGTGACGAGTGTAACAGCCAATCAGGAGATCGTATGTCTCGTGACACACTTCAGTCAAGGTTCCACGCTGTAGCTCTTCTCTATGAGACGGTGTGTTTGTTAGTTTTGTTTGGACAGTGTGTTGTACATCAACATTTATTTGCCTTCACTTGCGTTTAGGCTCTTCTGGTGTGTGGCTGCATCTTCACCTGCCTCTGCTGTTGCTGCTGCTGCTGTTTCTGCTGCGGGAAGTGTGCGTCCTCCTCCCCCGAACAGGACGGCTCCTTCTACATGGACCCAGACGACCTGGACGGAGAGTTCGGAGAACACGACGAAGGTGAGGGACGTCGGGTTTCACTCGAACAGTAAACAAACTCTGTCTCCAAGAAAAGTGAAAATGTGTTTTCCCCTGCATGTTAAACTCGTCCTCTGAATCCTGCTTTGTATTTTTGAAGATACTTCACCTTCTTTATGTTTCCAGCTACGACATTAACTCAGGTTGTTTCTGTGAGAAGCAGCACGTGGTTTGTTCAGTGTTAAATTCTGTTTCACAGCAGGAGATCCTGTGATAGTTGTTCAGCCGAGCTCTGCTGCTGACTCAGGTAAACTTCGCTCTCTGCAGGTGACGCTCAGCTGCTCTGTGCTGCTTGAATTAATTATTCAGCAGAACTTCATGTTGTGGCAGCTTCTAACACTGCTGGGCCTCAGCTGTGTCTCTGCAAAAATCACTGACTAACATTCAAGTTATTTCCTGGTTGTAACAACTTCCTGCAGAGGCCACGGGAGAAATCACAATGAGCTGAGGTGGATTTGTTCTGATCGGTGCCTCTTTATTAACTTTCCTTGTTTTCACCTGCCACTGCTGATGATGCTTTCAATGTCGAGCACAGAAATAATGATTTTAAGAAACTTGCTGCTCTTTACAGATACTAAAAAAACCTGTGTCATTTAAATTGATTCAGGGACTTAATGCTGCGTAATAAAATATAACTTCTGTCTTCTTAAACTGCTGTTTTAATTCTGTTAAGGAGGAGATCATGTGATCGTTATGCAGCCGAGCTCTGCTGCCGCCGCCGATGACAACTCAGGTAAAGTTCGTCTCTTCAGGAAACTCTCACCTGTAACTTTCAGCTGCAGAATCCAAGATGATGTCTTTTAAATGTTTCTCCTGTCAGTAAATATTTAGTTCGTATTTATATAAAACAGGGAAAAACAGCAGTTTGTCATATTTAAAAGCAGGAAGCAGCAAAGTGTAGGATTAAGATGAATAGATCTTCCTCTGATCAAAAACAAACAAATAAATAAAGATGGATGACGCACAGCCACTTACGACCATTGTACAAAAATGTAGCAAGAATAATACGGGTGCCGCCATCTTGACCCTTTGACGTCATTTGAAGCCAGAGTCTGCACCAGCGTGATCGTGGAGCTGAGGAATCGACTTCAACCATTTCTTTTCTCTTAACATGAAAACACAAAATTCTTATTTCAATATTTGTAGAAACGGATGTTTTTGCTGGTAAGTAAATGATAGAAGCTGCAGTTGTCATCAAACCTCTCTGTTGTCACACATGCAGGTAAGAACGCATCGATTGTGATTCAGCCTCGTGCGACTGTCGGCACCTCGGGGCCGGGGGACACCCAGCAGGAGGAGAAGGAGTCAGCTCAGGAATGAAGATGTGAATGAATAAGTGAGTGAGTGGAATCCTTTCTGATTCTGAACCTCCTTTAAACCAGGTCAACGCTGCAGATGAATATAAATCCAGTGTCTGTGTTTGTTTCCCTCAGACTGTGGCCGACCTGCAGAAAACCCATTCATCTCTCAGGTGTTTTCGTTTACATGAACCGGGCAGCGATCTGATTGTGCCAAAGATTCTTTTCTTTTTTTCTTTTTTTAAATGTCAAAGCGTATTCTTTGATCCCGTCTTAAATGTATTTCTTAAAGATAGAATAATATGAAATAACTCTTGATTGAATTATCTTAAAATGACCAAATTTGGTTTGTGTCATATCCTCTTCACCTGTGTCTTTGTCCGTCTCTTCCATAATTTGATTCGTTACCTCATGGAGAAGAAGTATTTTCCAAAGTGTTGAGCTGAGGGGAGTATTTGTACTGTACAAGCACTTGAAACGAAAGCCAACAGTGACTTTATTTTATTTTTACTTTTTGTGCCAAATGTTTCTGGATGCTCCATATATATATATATTATAAGAGCTTTAGCCTCTGTGGTGTTTGAGACGACTTGTTCCCTGCGAAACTGTGACCATACGTTAAAGGTCCAGTGCGTAAGATTAACCTTAGAATGGGCCCTTTACATTTAAATACTTTATATTTAGAAGGAAGGGGAGGGTGAGGTGAGGGGTATTCAGCTGCAACATGCAACTTCACCACTAGATGTCACTAAATTCTACACACTGAACCTTTAAATACTGGAATCATGTTATCTTGTAGATTCAGAGATATATATTTTAATTCTGAGTATTTTATATATATATATATATTTATATAAAACTAAATCATGTCATCTTTAATCATGTTTATATTATATTTTATGATTCTGCTGGGTGTGCATCATTGGGTTTCATCTGCATCTAATTTTATTTGTACAAATCTGTATCTGTTCCATCTATATTTGTTTCATCAGGATCAAGCAGGTCAGACGATGTATTTAATTAATTCAAGAAAGTGCCAAACTTATTTATTTTATTTTTTCAAATGTTTGATTAAAGATTTAAAAGAACGTTTGTATATTTGGTTCATCATCTCAACATTCCCTGGTATTTTACAGACTTTTTTTTTTACATGTTTGTTTCTGTTAAATTGAACATTTGTCTGATTAAATAAATTCGGGTGAAACTGGAAATACTTGTCTTGAGATGAAAAGAGTTTTGTGTCAGTGAGCAGCAGCTCTGAGATCAGCTGCCATTGGCTGCTCTCATGCTCCTCCTCTGACAGATAACACGTGTGTCGGAGCAGGTGGCGAGTTTTCAAGCTTCACTTTACACCAGTTAAACTTCAAGTCAGGGAATAAGTGAAGCGTGTTCACCTGAAGATATGGAGTCTCCCACTGATTCTGAGAAACAACTTCTGATTGAGACCGAACCTCTCGGATGGTTTGTTTTAAATCTTTTCATCCTCTTATAAATTCAGTTTTTTTTGCTTAACATCATTTAATCTGGACTCATTTACTTCACTGAATTCCTCTCAGGACGAGTTCTCTGGAGGAAAAATACTCTGAATCCAGATCAGACATCCTTGACGACGCCTCTAGTTCGCTCGACCTGTGGCAAACTGACCAAACCCACCGGCTCTGCCAGGAGACGGGCACGGTGCCGGCAGCTGACAGTGACGCCCAACGTTTGGCCAGGAGGAAACTCTTCATCGCCTGCACCCTCACCCTCGTGTTCATGATCGGGGAGGTGGTCGGTAAGATCAGAGATGTAATATTCTTCATTTTGTCTGTGAGAGCTGACGCACTGGAGGAAAGTGACTCAAATATTTACTCAAGTACAATTTCCCAGAGTTGAGAATCAACATTTTTTCCAACTTCATATATTTTACTTTATATCTTCACAGATTTTTTTTACTCCTTTACGTTCATCTCAGATCTACAGAAGATCAGATAAAAGAATCCCTCATTAGTTAAACTACAGGAAAAATATGCAGAGTTAAATGAAGTTACTCCTGAGTGGATTGTTTTTACTTTGTCTATAAAAAAAAATATTTAGTTTGAATTTAACACAGATAAAATTCCCTCACAACATCATGAAAAACCTCTTCAGGTGGATACGCCGCTCACAGCCTGGCCATCATGACGGACGCAGCTCATCTCCTGACGGACTTCGGGAGCATCTTGATCAGCATCTTCTCTCTGTGGATCTCGTCCAGGCCTCGGACGCAGACCATGACCTTCGGCTGGCATCGAGCAGGTGAGATCAAAACACAGACTTTTTTACTTTTTCTTGTAAGAGATTGAATTGAAATGATTTCTACCTGTTTCGTGTGTGACTCTCGGTTGTTGTGTTGAACAGAGATCTTGGGCATGTTGTTGTCGATCGTCTCCATCTGGGCTCTGACGGCAGCTCTGGTGTTATCGGCCGCACAGAGGATCACTGACGGAAACTACGACATCGACAGTCACATCATGTTGATAACGTCAGGCTGTGCTGTGGGCGTCAACATCCTGTGAGTAGGACGAGGTCAATTCACGAGGAGTCAGAAGTGATGAAATGTCTCTGAGAAGTGTTTTTGATTTGTTTCACTCAGGATGGTGTTGATCCTCCATCAGTCCGGGGCCTCCCACGGACACAGCCACGGGTTTTCCACCGACCGGCTGCAGAGGAACGGGGAGCGTCAGAGTCACGGCAACGCCAGCGTGAGGGCGGCCTTCATCCACGTGGTGGGAGATCTGCTGCAAAGTGTTGGGGTCCTGCTGGCCGCCACCATCATCCACTTCTGGGTCAGTGTCGCCCAAAAAAAAAAAAAAACTTCATCAGTGGATGGAGAAGTAGTCAGTCCCATGATGTGGTCGGAACTGTAAGTAAAGTTTCTGACACAACTTGAGGCTGCAGACGTGTTTATTGAAGAACCGCATCACTTCGCGTGGAGTCGATGCAGTAAACTCTTCATTCTGTGGTTTCTTATTTCTTGTTAATCATATTTCTATTTTCCTCACAGCCTGAATATAAAGTAGCAGATCCAATATGTACGTTTCTGTTCTCCGTTCTCATTGTTGGGACGACAGTTCCAGTCACAAAGGATGTTCTCAGGATACTGATGGAGGGTAAACACTGTTCCCTGCATGTAGAAGTATTTTAACAATTACTGCAGTTTCCGTTGTGGTGAGCGAGAGTTTTTTTATTTCTGTTTTCCTGCAGGAGCTCCTCAGGACGTGAGCTTCAGCACTGTGAGAAAGTCGCTGCTGTCTGTCGGAGGAGTCGTGGCCGTTCACAGTTTGTACATGTGGAGCCTCAACATGAGCGACGCTTTACTATCTGTCCACGTGGTCACAGGTGAAGGCCAAAACAAATACTGCTTATCTACAGTGGGAGAGAAGACGGTGTGCATGAGGTGCACAGAGTCATACCTTCATCCGTGGATGTGGTGGGGCATAAAACAATAATTATAAATATATAAAGGAATTATTGGGTGGTGAAGTTACTGCAACTGAAAGAAAAATCACAAATGGTTAATGAAGTCAAAAACAAAACCATCCGAGTTCAAGCTGCAGCACTGATGTTTGTTCAGGATCATTTTAAGTCATGACTCAGAGAAAACGTCTGTATTTGTGTTTTCAGAAAAAGATGCCGATTCACAGATCGTCCTCACGAAGGCGACAAAGCTCCTGCGCTCGGAATTTAGTTTCTCCAGCATCACGGTCCAAGTGGAGCGTTTCAGTCCAGAGACGACTGTGGAGACGGACTGATGACGCAGGAAACCGAGGCAGAAGCTTCCACAAGCCTCTGACTCACCTGGTATCTGACCAGCGACCGGTGAAGCTCAACAGCTTTACATTCATTACACGTGGTTTCCTCACCCTCGTGTCATGTATGTGCTTTTATCAACTTCTGACCCATGTTTTGTTGCATCACAGCTACTATTTACTATAGTTAGTATTTATACAACATCCTAGATCCTAAGAACCTTAACCTCATTTTGCACAAATCTGAAGCGTGAGATATTTGTTCAGTATTTGTTAAAATGTATTATAAAGAAATGTATAAAGTATTATGACGGTCATTTAATTGAATATATAAATATTTAAAAGGACTAAATAGGTTTTATAGAATAAAGTGAGTCTGATTTGATTAAGGAAACAATTCAGTCAGCAATACACACGTCACTGAACCAACTCTTTGATGAAGGGTCAATTTATTCAAACTGAAAACCCTGGTTCCTCAAACCAAACAGACACAGAAATATTAGGTCGTACAAACGCACAACAAATTCAAACGATACATACAAATAATCTTCACTACATATTCAATGTAGAGTTAGTGTGGATGGAAGTCCTGGTCGAACTGACAAATGGAATGAGACGCACACAGATATGAAACTCACAGACGTTAATCAAACTATTTTTTTCAGTTTACTTGAGTCAGAGAAGACGACGAAGTAAAAAGATCTGGACACGATCGGCTCCAGGCTTCTGAAAATATCTCCACAGGTGAGAATGTGTGAGTTCAACTGTACCACAGAAAACCCTGGAAACTCCCGGAGGGAACACGCTTCCAGGAAACCCCGCCGTCACCGGGCTTCAGTCGCGCCGCGCGTCCTTCCAGTAGTTGTCGTACGCCTCCTGGAACATGTTCTTGCAGGAGATTTTAGCTTTGAGTTTGGAGCAGATGAGGAAGGAGCCGCCCATCTTCCTGTGGAGGGAGTAGGTTTCCTCGGGAGGAGGCGTCAGCCGCTCCCTCAGCATCACCGGGATGAGGCTGTGGATGCGCTCGGTGGTGCTCTGAGCTCCGAAGTCAAAGGGCTCCTCGGCGGAGAAGGCCTCGCCCAGGATCATCACAGCGTCCACGTGAGCGTTCTCCATCGACTTAGTGTGAGACACGAGGAGTTAATGACGACAAACAGGCTTTAAACCAGAGTTCAGCAGTTCATTTAAATTTCACAGTGATTCTTTCTGTTGTGGTTTGTAGCTGAAACAGGGACGTTTATTACCTTTGACTCGTATCCTGTGAGGAACTTCATGTCTCTGGATCTCTGCAGGACGCCCTCTCTGTTCTGATCTGCAGCTGCCTTAATGATCTGGTGTGAGAGCGAACAGATTAAATACAAATACTGAAATCTCATGAAACATTTGACTGATTGAAAGTAAAATACATCTGATAAAAACAGACCCTGATTCTTACTGAGGTTTCAGGTCACTTCAATCATTTAACATGTAAAACTTTTCACCCTGTGTTGAATATACAGTATATATACACAGTACAATAATATATATATATATATATGTTCTTATATTCTTGCTTTCACTAATAATATATATATGTTAATATATAGTATTTTTCCTGTTACTATGACATGTTTTCTTTTTCATTAGTAAATAAAGGAAAACTTTAAATGTCTCATTCCAACTATGTAGAATTTTTTGGTATTAAATCACATTATAATGAAAGTTTTGTGACGTAATGACAAAATGAATTGTTAAGACAACATTTTTGTAAATATCTCAAAAGAAACTGCACAGACAGTTTGAATGTGACTGAGGGATTTTACAGTTCCTCACCTCAATGTAAGTGTCAGTGAAGCTTTTATCAAATCCTCGAGTCGCTCCAAAATCCAACAACGCAACCTGAAGACAAAGGAAACAGTAAAAAGATAAAGATGTACACGTACAAACTGTTCATTATTGAGACACTGAGGGGAACTGACCTTGTGAGCTTGTGGGTCAAAGAAGAAGTTGGACCAGTTTGGATCGGTCTGCATGTATCTGAACTCAAACAGCTCCCTCAGGCATAAACTCAAGATTTGCTCACAAATCTGAGAAGAAGAAGAAGAAGGAAACGTGTCAAATGACACAAACGATGAGTGAAAACAAGCTTCACGCTGTGCTGACGTGTCTCTTTAGAGACGGCGTGTGTCCATATTTATCACGTCGCCTTGAACACGTCCAGAGAATTGGAGCGTGTTGGAAACACGCAGGTGTGAGCAGCGATGGGTTTGGAGTCCGTACCTCATTCCTGAGTTCCTGAGAGAGGTCGGTGGCCTGGTCCAGAGGGAAACCAGGCACCAGCGCGGTGGTGAGGACGTGCAGGCTGCTCAGCTCGTCAATCACGTCGGGCACATAGAAGAACGGGTGACCTGTCAGCAGCTCTCTGCAAAACACAAACAACAGAGTTCAGAAACACCGAATACAGCCAAACACTCCTGGGTCATCTGGGTCGAAGGTCGTGACGAAGTTTGTTAATCTGACAACAAACATTAAAACTTGTGTCAATGAAATGTAATTGAGGTTTGATATTTTACAGTTTAAGCACAAACTTTACTATAAATATCCATGAATTTAAAAAAGCACGAATACAACCAATATATAGAACCTAATTAAAAAATAAACTATAATCAAAATGTTTTCTGCTTTGTTTATTCTCTTATTTGTTGCATATCAGCTGACATAAATAAATTGAGTCTGTTAAATGCTCATATTGAAGGATCTTTGTTAATTGGCTGTATTAAACATTGCTCCACGTTAAGAGGTTAAATGCAAAAAGGTTTGGAGACCGCTGATGTTGACAATGTGCACCACATGGAGTCATACAGTGTGTGTGTGTGTGTGTGTGTAGAACAAATAAACAACTCACTGGAATTTTCGGGCACATTTTGCCTCCCTCACGTAATCACACTCCAGCGCCAGCTCACGGCTCATGACCTCGATAAGGTGCTCGGGAAACAGACCTGTGAACGACAGAGTCACGACACTGGAGCTGCTGGAGCAGGTTAGTGAGTCGACTGCGGAGGTTATAACAATCAGACACAAGCAGCCGTCATCGTAAAAAAAAAAAAAAAAGATTTAACGTTACCTTCAGGCAGCACGTTGCTTAAACTCAGAGCCGTCATGATGTTGTTCACGTCACTGTCGATGCTCTTGGCGACTCCCGGATACTGAAAGAAAAGGTTTTGATGGTGTGACAGTGAAGTTCAGTGCTGCCTCAGTGTTTCATCTCCACACTCACCTGAATCTTCATGGCCACCTCTCTGCCGTCCTTCAGCCTCGCCAGATGCACCTGACCGATGGACGCCGCCGCGAACGGCTTCTCCTCAAAGTATTCCAGTTGGTCTCTCCAGTTCGGGCCCAGGTCACTGCTGATGGCTTTCTGCAGAGAGAGAGAGAGAAGAGCCCGTCTCATCTGTGAACTGAGCGTGGGCTGATCACCACAGGCCCGAGTACCGTACCGTCATCTGTTTAGTCGGCATGAAGTCGGCACTCTGTCGAACTCGCTCGAAGATTTTGGCCAACTGAGGGTTGATGAAAGCATCGTCTGGGAGGAAGAAGAGAAAAACAAGCTGATGTGATGTTTGCTATCATTAATCAGCTGTGAAGGTGCATTCAGAGTCAAAATGAATTTAATCTCCCAAAGATATGTGGATAGAGATGCAATTATTTGCATGAAATCTGCATAAACGTTGAATTATAACATTTTGAATCCATTTAATAAAACTGAGCAGATTCTTTTTCACACATGAGGCAGATAAAGAGAAACATTGGAATTTATTTTGAGTGGTTTTTCTGACCACCTGAAATATAAAATACTTTTTTTTGGTTCTCTAAAAATTTACACAACTGCAAAAACCCAACATGACTTATAAAATAGTGTGATTTTTATTTTATTTACTTAAGACAAAGAAAAGCATCAAATCCTCACGACCATGAATCTATAACCGGTTTCATTCTTCTTTTTTTTTAAATTATTCATTGGCTCCAGATATTATTTAATATTAGAAAATAGATTTCAAACAAGGAGAATTGATTTTAATGAATGAAAAGATTTGCATTTTATTAAGCCGTGGATAATTCTGACCTCTGACCTCTGTCGGAATCCTTTGAGGACTGATAACTGTCCGGTGGACGTCTCACAGCAGAACAACACTGCGCTGTTAGCACCGTGCTGTTTAAAGTCATCAGGCTGTTCGGTCTTACAATAGCTCGGCTGGAATGGCAGTTATTGTGATCAGCTGGCCCTGGGTTTATTTTCGGTGATGACATTTCCACGCTGGTAAAAAGGACCTTGTTTGTTTGCCAGAAGCGAGACTTTGCTGTCCATAACACGAGACGTCCTCTGTGTCCTGATGTCCCAGTGTCATGCAGCGTTACTCTGTGCTGCGTCACTGAAGACACAGACGTGTTTAACGTGCAGTTTTTTTCTCACCTTGAATGCTGAGCATCTGTCCCAGTTTCAGAGCGGCACCTCGGACTTTGCAGAGCGTCCGCACGATTCTTTCAGCGTTGGCTTCAGACAGGAAGGCACTCGAATTCAGAACAGATTTCTTATCATCTAAAAAAAATAAAGGTATTTAATGTCAAACATAGATTATTGGCAATATCTCCAATATCAGACTTTATACTATTTACTTTCTTTCATCAATACATTCAGTAATGAGTTAATGAACAGTCTCTGGAGTTCTGAAAGTTTTAAATAAGCAGCTCTACAAGCCCCTCGTTCTCTTTCTTATCATTTTCCCACAGTTTCAGTGAAACATAAAAGCATTTCTATAGAGAAGCAAAAAGAACCTTGTTGACATCAGCAGCTTGAACAATTGAACGATTTAGTCTTGATGGTTTTAATATTGACTTTAAAACTGAATCATTATCAACAGCATCCTCCTCTCAACACCTTGTTGTTGTGGTTTCAAACTCTTCTTTGCCACTTCAGCGATCGCCCCAATCCCAAGTCCAACGGCCAGACCTGCAAAATGAAAAATGAATACAATCAATGATTCACGAACTCTCTCAGCTGATAACGGCGGCAACAAGAAAAGGTGGCGATAACAGCAATCAGCGACCAGAGGTGGGTTTAAACTCTCAAAACAACGCTCAGGAGTCCTCACAGGTTCGGGGGCAGGAAGGTGTGAGGTCGCTAATATCTGACAACATGTTTTATTTTGTCTTTGATTCTCAGCCGGGACTCCGACACGTCCCTGAAACATCGGCTACTGAAGCTCTGTAGTTCCAGCCCTGTGAAGGAGCTGCTGCCCCAGGTCACCAATGAAAAGCCTCTCAACTGCTAAACGTTGATGTCCAGGGCAACGGAACGTGTTCAATTAGAAAACAAATAATCTATAAAATGTTGTGTCTTTAAATAAAGTCTGCTGCGACCACATCCTGCTCCGGGGGGAGCGTCAGCACTGCCAATGTCAATCACCGACCTTGTTTAAACAACAGGTGAAGAAAACAACGGTTTATTCATTCAGGATTATCTCAAATATCTTGAGCAGATATAACTCAACATTTTATTTGTTTAGTTATAAGAAGGAGAAGGAACTCGACATTAGATTAGTCCAGAAACACACGAGGACTCATGATACTGAAGAAAAACTAATTTAAAAATCAGTGATTCATCTGCTGCCTATTTCCAAATTTAATTTAGCTCAACTGTAAATCAGAAAAAGGAGAATTTACCACGTTCAAGAAGAAATCAAACAAAAATCATTTTAACAGTTCCCCTGAATGAATTTACACTTCCACATTCCTGCTCATGCTTTCACATCATCACACTACTCGCAATAACTTGGTTGCCATCCAAGCAGATTTCCAAATGTGGAAAAAAAAATAAAAGTTGTTCAACCAAATTTTGAGGAAGGAAATTATTCGGACACGTTTGTCGGACTTGAAGAATACGGCAGAGAGACTGAGGAGACATCGTCTCTGAGAAAACTCTGCTGGTGTTTGGTTTGATTCCATACGTTTGTGCTGAGCGTGCACCGTGTCAGCAACGCTCTGCCTCACATTCGTCCAGATCTCAGTAATCTAACACTGGTTTCACAGCACCGGGGCAACTGAGGGTCAGACGCCTTGCTGAAGGGCACGCTGGAAGTAGCTGTTAAATATTTGCCTCACACACAGTTTCTGCTCTGAGAAGTAGAATTAAAACATTTACGTACCTCCAAAATTCATCAGCCTTCCTAACCGTGTGACCGGCACCTTCCTCTCTCTGGCTCGTTCACTGAGCTGAAATAAAAGAAAACATGACGCTCCGGTGCAAAACTGAATGAAGTAGAAACGAAGGTATAAAACATGTGAATACCACTTGTTTGTGTTGCTTGTTGTCGGTTTTCTTGGCGTTTCTTGCTTTTTCGATGTCCTCTGACGTCAGCCGCCCCACGGTGGAGTTGTCCTGGTTGAACAACCTTGTGTGTCCGCAGAACAGCTGACTTGACCAGTCCCTGTGGTGTTTCAGATGTTTAGCGCTGAGTCGGCCGCCGCAGGACCCCCATCCTCCCTTTACGCTGCCGGGGAAACGCGCCGCCATCGTGGAATATCTGTGAAGCGTAGTTGTGTGGACGCAGACTTCCTGAGGTGAAAACAACAAGGGTCAGAGGGAAAGTTAGAAAAAAAACAACAAATTCACATTCTCAGTTAAAGTCACATCGACTCAAACATACAAATACTGAATATAATGATTTTCAACATAGTTTTGTAAGTCGTCCGTGCCTCTGAATTGATTTTTAACTTTCAGTTTTACTTTAATTATTCTTGTGGGTTGAGAACATCATCATTATTATTGAAGAGAGACAGTTCAGAGATTCTTCTTCTCAGCCGTTCATCTCTTCAGCTTTAAAATCATTTTCTGTTGAATTCACATCAGAGTCAAGTCAGTGTTTTTATTTTTTTTCCTTCTTTAAAAATTCATTTTGTCTGTTTGATTTTCTCAGTGAGATGTGGATCATAGTTTCTCTTCTGCCAGTCTCTTGGGACCCGGAGTCATTTTTCATTCAGACTTCAAAAGCACATAAACATAAAATACACACTCAGGACTAGAGGATTGGAATAGATTGTGTACAATATAGAAACACAAGAGTCGGGACGACAAGTTCACCTGAAGGAGAAAAAAAGTTTAGGTTGTTCTTTGTTAAAGGACAAAGAAATCAAATGCGAATGGCTCGGTGCCCGACAAGATATCAGATCAACACCAACACATCCAACTGGCAAGAAGACAAAGTGTTCACACACGAGCAAACACGAGCACAGGAATCACAGGACAGAGGTTTTCTAAACATGAAAACTCATCTGGAAACAAGTAAAGCAGAATTACTGTTTCTAATATTTGAAAGAAAACAGTAACTTTTTCTGTCAACTAAAATCATAGACAGGCTTTTTCCTGCTGCCTTGAATGAGAACGTTGTCTCGGCACCACCAAAGCAACACCTCACAGAATTAGGGGCGTAAATTGGATTTATTTTATCGGACAACTAATCCCACAGACGGCCTGGATCAAGGACGTCTCACATAACAAAGGTCAGAGACGGTTTCAGCAGCAACTGTTTTAAAATTTACCAAAGACGTTGATTTACTTTTGAGATTTGAGATTTGAGTTGTATTTTAGTGTCATGCAATAATAACAATCACAGGCCACAGGAGGAATCTGAGGGCGAGACAACCTTTATGTTTGACTTGTCCAGGTGAGATAAGGAGGTGGAGGACATTTGCAAGGTGTGGCACTAAAGAAAACTATGGACATATTTTGGTCAGACGCCCACATCAGCTGAAACCCTGAGGTTTCTCCTCCAGCGTCGCCCGCCTCATGAAGCTGCTCAGCGTTGTGGGTGTTGATGAGGCGACGGGGGCAGAAACAGACAGAGGAGGAATCTGGGCTGCATGTTTGTGAAACCCTACACCGCCCTGCAGCAGCGTGACGGACAAATCAAGGCCCACTGCTCACCCTCGCTGACCCGGCGGCGTGATGGAGGCTCGCCGGCCTCTGGCTCCCAGGGCTGGTCAGGGCGCCTGGTGGGGCTCTGCAGGCTGCCTGCTTCACCCAGGTCAGGCCCCTCCACACCACAGCGTCACCTGTCATGGTGTTGTCCTGTACTCACACCTGCAGGGACGAGACAAACACACACGTCTCTGAGCAACAGGTGGTTTTTGAGGTTGTGATGTGTCAATTATTTCCTCATTTGTCTGGGTGAGATGATGATCAACCATCAGTTTATGTTCCCATGCTTGTTGGGTTAAGCCTGATTGCACATCCACAGCATTCTGCTGCAAAACAACCAAAACACTGACACAAGTGTGAAGTTAACTGAGTGACAAGAGCAGGAAGTCAGAAACACGCCACAGCAACAAACCTGAGAGAATGAACATAAAAAACATTTGAGTTAACTTGACTAAATGAGTGAAAGAGACTCACCAGCAGAACTTCTCTCAGCTCTGAGAACCGGCGCTGATCATCGTGCAGCTGCAGCTTCTCCTTTGATTTTCACTTGACTCAGTTTCGACTCAAACTCTTCTCGACTTCTCCCCCGAGGCGAAGCTGCACCGACACGGGCAAAGTTCAGCCGCCGGGGACCCCCGAGCATCAACTGGCTGGAGAGACCGTGAGTCGCTGCTCGGTCACAGCTGACGTGTCCGCTCAGGGCGGTCCCTGAACTGCACACACGCTGCGTTCAAGAGCAAACCGGAATTTCCAGGGAGCTCAAATTAAGTTTAATTCAGAAGTAGAAAGGATTCGTAATAAAGTTTTCAAAAAAACTAAAATGAAAAAGACAATTACCCACTCACTTTAAAAGGTTTAACTATCAGGTGAGTTCTACTTAAAAAAAAAACAAAAAAACACAATGCTTTTATTCTGAAATGTGCCTTTCAGATTAAAATAAACCCAGAATATGAACTCAATGTACTTCACAAATGTAATTTACACATTCTGTCATCCTGGCACACAAACCACTTATATTTTACACAATCTTATATGTCGCTCAGTTGTACAAACATCATTGTATTATTTCATTTTTTGTAGTACTGAGAATTATTCTCAGTCACAAGCCAAATAATAAATACACACAAGTATTTTTGTTGCGTAGCCTGTGGACAAATACTAACACCTCTCTATAACAGTTCCAGCTAAAACTCAACATTAAACCCTGCACGAAGGAAAGATTTACAGCAGGATTGTTTTATTAGATTGCCTGAGTGTGTGTTCCTAATAAACTGCAAACTGTGTGTGTGTGGACAACATCCAGTTTCCTGGAAAATAACGAAACCTTCTTACTTTAGAAACATGAATCACTGCTTCTCCTTCTGCTTTGTTTCTTCACACTGCCGACGTTTTTGGAGGGCAAACAATCTACTTGATATTTTAGGACAGGACATGTTCAGGAGCCTGTGTTCAGTCAGGTCGGGGGAAATTTTATAAAACAATTTAATTTATGGTTTAATGACACTAGGATAGGATAGGAGCATGCGAGGAGCACTTGAAAGCAGCAATACCTCATCCGACTGTGAGCTGTGACTGATCCAGGCCCATTAGAGTTTGGCTTCAGCAGCTGATGTTAAGTGAAGGATGAATCACCTTTTAATTATAAGGAGCAACCACATTTATACACAAATAGTGCAAGCGACCAGGGAAATGACTCTATGATATCACTGCTCTGATTGGATCCGATGATGGTCAGTGTGAAAATGAAGAGAGCGGCACGTTGTGATCATTTATTTCATAATGACACAAATGTTTAATGAATAACAGCTGTCAGTAAGCTCCTGTTACATGACACAGTGTTTATGAATGGTTGGATGATTCAGATGTATCACACACATGAAAAATACACAACTCATGTGTTAAAATAGTTGTCGCATCTTTATTTATTCAAGAATTTCAGGAATGAATGGCTGTTTTTTTTTTAGTTGTTTACACTTCAGGGCTCCTAGGTTCAGTCAGACATCCTCGTTATGTCACTTAAATAGATGGTGACGATGGCAGAAAGCTGTGGGTTTATAACTGAAGATATTCTAGACTGGTGAAATAAACCGCTGAGGCTGCGTCAGGGTCTGATGACCGACTTTAGCTTGGGGAAGAGCTGGAGAGCGTTCTGCGTCGTTACCTCCATTACCCTCTCCAGCGACACACCTTTAATTCTACTGATGTACTCGGCACAAATAGAAATGTTTTTTGGCTCATTTCTCACCTGCAAACATGACACAGAACAAAACACGAGAGCAGATTAATGTTCAAATATGAACGTAGAAGAAAAGGTATGGACATTTAGAAAACACACTCACACACACACACAGAATATGCTGGTGAGAACTTTAATAATATATAGATATTATTATCATTTACCAGTAAATATACTGGGTTTGGATTTAAGTATGCGTTCTATTCCGAGGGATAAAATATCTTACCTGCTTTTCAGGACCCAGAGCAGGTGAATCAGTTTCCAGACAGATGTTCTCTAACGGCAACTGTTTCACAAGTTTCTGCTTCTTGTTGGAAAGAAAACACACAAATCATTAATCATTAACATATAAAGTGATGAAGTCAGCCAATGAAAACTAAGTCAACATGTTTGTCTCTGGATTTGAGTCGTGTAACCTATAAATATACAAACAACAAGTTTATCAGAGTCATTTCTAACTATCAGTGAAATATTTACAGTCGTGTCAAATGCAAAATAAGAATCTGTGAGTGAGTTGTGATACTGATGGACATTTTATAGCAAGTTGGGTTTAAATAAAATGTATATCTGAGATAAACTAAATGCTCTATTGTACCTGTTCACTCCGAATAATGGATGGTGGGATAGAAAAGAAATACCCAGCCTTCACTCCCTCCATGGCAACAGACGGTCTCCCATCGAAAGCATGGAGCAGGGCTTTTTCGACACCTAGTGACATTTCAGGGGAACTGCAGTTTACTTCTCTAATGTTCAGGCGAAGGATTCATCCACAGATCAAATGAGAAACTTAAGTGCTCACCTTGTTCTTTGAGGAGATGGATGGTGGGTCTTCCTGCAGACCGTGAGTGAACATTTCTAGAAATAAATCACAAACTTATTATGGGAACCTGCAAGCTAGTGAGTCAAGTCTGCAGTGGAATTTAAGACACTGATTAAAAAAGCAGAGTTGCATGAGAATACTTTAATATTATGACATATGCTGCTTTTGAAATCAGACATATGCCTTCATATTTCACCATTTGCTGTTTGTCTTAAACAATCCCGAGTGTTACCCAGTGATATAATATATAACATAAAGTCTTTATATCATGTCTTACTCACAGGGGGAGGTCCAGCTCCTTGGCTATCTGCGCTTGACGGATGAGGACCTGCCTTTGATCGTCTTTATCAGTCTCACTTTTGACATATCTGGGTGTGAAATCCAAACCAACCTTCAACAATAAAATGTGAACTTTAACGTAAATGCAAAATAACACACAGACCGAAAAACTGCAATTCAAGTCATGAAAGAGATAGTGAACCTTTACCTCTCCGATAGCCACAAGGTGGTCTTTGTATTTCTCTATGATGGGCAAAGCTGCATCTAGATCCTGTGTAGATGAAAGAACAACAATTATTTCATTCCAAGACAAATATTTACACAAATCACAAATTATCAACTGAATCGCAGTGTTGTCTTTCCGATTGTTGATTGAGCCGAAGGAGAGAAAAAAAACATATTATCTTTATTACTTCTAGTCTTAATGAGCCATGCAGAGAGCTGCACTTATACTATGAGGATGTAAGTACAAGTTCAGTGGAAGTTGATAGACTTGTGTGGTGTTCACAGCATTGAGCATTTAAAATGAAAAACCATTAGCAGCATGGCTTTCTAGAAATAATGCCCCCCCCAACATTAATAATGTTTTCAGTTCAGTTCAGGCTCCGTCAACTTGTGATTAACAAACCTCTGCACATCTGTTCTCCTGCCTGTTCGCACTTTACTTAGAAAAATAAAAAAACAACGGATACACACATGGTGCAATAACTACACACACACTCCATACACTTAAAGCCGTTGCTTCATTTGCAATGAATGTCTCACTGCACCTTTGAATGTACATAGTTTTAGTTTTGAATTGTATTTTACTTTAATAGTAAGGTTTTTCTACCTTGCTTATATTTTACTATTCAGTTACACCTTTCATTTGGCTGTTGACTCCATATCAATGTCACACCGTGGTTTGAGGGAAGCGACCCTCGACAAGTGGACGGTACCTGGAGAGAAGCTCCTCTCTGCTGCTCCGGGGAAACTCCTTGAACGGGGTGAACTCCTAAGCAGGGAAAAATAAAACCTGGAAACCTGCGACAAAGAGAAAAGATCAGTCCTCACACGTCACATCAGGTTCCATCTGATCGATCTTGTGTTTCCATCACCTCTGTGACAAGGATATGATCTTTTCAAATTCCCCAGCATGCTCTGCAACTGCTAACAGCGCCAACAGTCCGGCCTGAGAGAGGAAAGAGCTAATGATTAGCTTCACATGTACAATAATAATAATAATAATAATAATTATAATTATAATATTGTATCGTGGTTTCGGCTGACAGGGTGTCTCACCTTCTTGGAGTTCTCAACCACGTCCTCTAAGTCCTGACGAGAAACACAAGACAATGGACACGTCGCAGGACATTTTACATTTAAATATAAACTACTCGTTTATGATTCAATTAAAACGTCCTCACCTCGTCAAACTCCCCCGCAGAGATGTGACAGTGACAGTCGATGAAGCCCCGCATGTCCACAACCACAACATCCCCACTTCCGGGGACGAGACTCAAACTGCGCATGTGCACAGAGGTAATCTGTGCGTGTGTGTGTGTGTGTGTGTGGTTTAAATCAGCGGCGTCTCCCGGGAGGGCGGGGTTCTCTTCAGGCTCAAATCTGATTGGTTGACACTCGACGGCGGCATCGACGAGGAGACAAATCGAGCGCCTCACCAATACGCTCTGTTTACTTCCGGGTAGCGTGCTTCGCTGAGGTTCTTCCGTAAACACGGAGACTCATCATGTGATTCCTGCAGGTCCGCTCCACTCGGATCATTGAATCAAGCGCTCCCACCACCACCACCACCCCCCCCACCTGACATGGGCACTCTCACAGTGTGTCCTCTGCTGGTATCGATCCTGGTGATCGGTACCAGCGGGATCAAATACGAACCCAACTGGAAATCGATCGATTCCCGGCCACTTCCGGAGTGGTACGACCAGGCGAAGTTCGGGATCTTCATCCACTGGGGGGTTTTCTCTGTCCCCAGCTTCGGCAGCGAGTGGTTCTGGTGAGCGTCCACCTGACTAGACATTAATGGATCACAGTCACGTCACACCAGATTATTAAACACTTTAGTCAATGGGAACAGGAGAAATTAGGTTGATGCAAAATGGTGCAAGTTAGAAACAGTCGAGAACAAACAAGTTTCATCCAGTGTCTCTTCTGGAGCTTTCAGTCATCGAGCACATGGAGCTGCACATTTGTCATTGTGAATTTTACTTCCTCAAAGTTTTGACACTTGTCTTTCTCAAGTCTGAGCTTAAAATCGGATCATCATTCAAGCTCCAGAACAGGTTTGACACTTGTTTGCCCAACCCCTGTAAGAAAGGCCCAGTGTCCCTGAAGTAACCAACACGGTAGAAATGTTTGACAAAAAAATGAATAAATCATCAACTTGTCATAAAATTTTATTTAGGAATTTATAGTTTTTTTTATAGGATACAACAAGCTCTTTTATATTTACAGTATAAACTACGTCAGGGGAATTATTTCCTCTTATTTCCTCACCATGCCTTATCCATTTACATCAAACATATTTTATTTATATCTTTAAATTTTACTTTTTTTTAAACTTTTTCATCAATATGTTTGACATCAGCTAAATCCTCAGACGATCCAGATCGTGGAAGAGATTTGTTCTTCCTCCCTCAGTCTGTTTCACTCTGCGTCTCTGTGGCAGGTGGTACTGGCAGAACAAAAAACTGAAGCCGTACGTTGATTTCATGCAGAGGAATTATCCTCCAGACTTCAAGTATCAAGACTTTGCTCCGCAGTTCACTGCCGAGTTCTTCGATGCCAAAGAATGGACGGACATCTTTGCCGCGTCGGGGGCAAAGTACATCGTCCTGACGACAAAACACCATGAAGGTACAGTGTGTGATCCTGTCATTCACATACTCTGTCTGTGGGCAGAGTAAAACATATTTCCACATACTTGGAGTATTACCGCAGTTCTTTCTGCCACATTCAAGATGTACTTTTAACATATTTTATTTTAGGTTTCACCCTATGGGGCTCAAAAACCTCCTGGAACTGGAATGCAGTGGATGTTGGACCCAAAAGAGACCTGGTGGAGGAAATGGCGGATGCCCTCCGTGCTAAGAGTGACCTTCGTTTGGGGCTGTACCATTCCCTCTTCGAGTGGTTTAATCCGCTCTATCAACAGGACGCTGCCAACGTTTTCGCCACAAACTACTTTCCCACCAGTAAAACTCTGCCTGAGCTTTATGAGCTCATCGTCAAGTACAAACCAGAGGTGCTGTGGTCTGACGGGGACGGAAATGCACCTGACAAATACTGGAACAGCACTGGTTTCTTAGCCTGGCTCTATAATGACAGGTAATAGATAAAAAAAAAAAA